CCCCAAAACCCCAAAACCCCAAAACCCCAATATGTGTCGATAGATAAAGAATATTTGATATGAACATATAAATTAAAAATCTTACAAGTCATACAGGTTTAGCATTTAATTATCATTATTATTTTTCTACATGGGCATATTTGGAGTTCAAAAGTGGTTCGGTGTCATCATATGTAAGGTCAAATTCAACATCGTCGTGGAACTCACTGTATCCTCTCTTCATCTTTACTGACTTTCTAAATGTGGCTCTGCTTGCGTATGTCAGCTTGATCTTCTTCAGCACCTCAGTTGATGCGTCATGGCTGAACTTACTAAACATTAAAACGTAGCTTACACATCCTTGACTGAGCTGGGCTCACTGGCTAGAATCACCGAGTCGGAGTCAGGCTTGGCTTTTACTACTTGTCTGAAGGTGCACCGGATGCACCAAGTCAAGATCAGCACGACAGCCACGAAGATGAACAGGATGCCCCACTTTGAAAACAAAGTGGTGGTGTCGGTGTTGCCGATTTCGAACAGAACTGAAGCTTCAGAGTAGCTGTTGGAGGCTTTGAGTTGGAAAGTGGAAGAAGTGGCTTTTGAGTGTTTTGTGACTTTGAGACTTGGGAATGGATGGTAATTGATAATATAATATTTAGCTCCGCATATAACGACAATTCTATCCTCTGAGCATTGTAAATCAATAAAACTACAATCTGGGACAGGACCAAGATTATACTCTCGAAAAGATTTCGATTTCACATGATTCATATGTCTTTCAACTCTCACAAATGCATCAAGGTACCCTCCTTTCTTCAGATTATATCCAACTTGCACAATAGACAGGTCAGAATAGTCAACTATGCCTGTACTTTGCTGACCATTAAGATTTTCAAACCTGTCTGAATACTGAAGCCCATCCAAAATGTATCCGTCTGGATTACTCTCTTGTATATCTTTCCATCCAAGTGATATCTAGAAATGAGTACAATATCTTACAGATCCTTTGTTCTCTAAAAATATCCTCATTGAGTTGTTGGATATTGGAACCAGATTCGTTATCTTGAATTCTGGGTAGAATGATGTGAAGAACTCTGAGAAGGCAACTTCATCTGCTTTTTCAAGTCGAACCAAGTCATAGAATAGTAGTCCAAAGTCGTCTACAGAGCACACCATGAACTTGGAGTCATCACTCGATTTAGTGTCATCATTAGGCTTATAGTCATGAATAAACATGAAAGAGTTGACATTGAATTTTTCATAGTTCATCTGAAGTGCGTTTAGCTGGGAATAATAGGTTAATTTGTACTCGATTAGCTCTTCATCAATATTTAGACCGTAATATAACAGGACTGAGTCATGTATCGTGTTGGAGTCAGCCAGGATCACAATGTGATGGTCTTCTCTGCCTGTTTGAGATTTAGAAACTTTCACATCTTTGACTTTTCTGTCAAGTGGAATAGTCATACTTTCGATTGGATTTGTATAAAATCTTGAGTTCTCATAATAGTTTTTGCTTTCCCTAACGATAACTTGGTAAAACTGCAGCCGATAAGACGGGTTGATTCCTGTGTCATTAATTCTTCAGTTGCACACCAAGTAAAACATTGTTGTGTCATTGATGCTGTTCTCAGGAACCAGAGTAAAGGTGCTGATGTAATCGATGTTTCAGCTATCAAGCTGCTTCTTATAACTATCAGGGAACGGAATATCTGACGAATTAGCCAAGTTATAGATCTAAAGATGATGGTCTTAAATTACCTCAAGTTTATAGTCTTTCTCGTAGAATGCCAGCAAGTACTTCTTCTTGTAAACTAATGCATGAGAAACAGGATTGTTGAGACTGACTCCATCAAGTATAAATTTCGAGATCTTGTCTTCTGACATGTCTAAATCAACATCTTCTGTGTTTCCTCCAATTTGTAAGGGATCGTAGCTCATGTCAAACCCGTCGAAGATGTCAAGGACAGAAAATGTCATGGGTTCATCACTTTGAGGGAATTTATAGAGCCTTTCTTCAGGCCTTTGCTCTATCATTAATCCTCTATTAGCAACTGTTATGTTAAAATAGCTCTGGAGTATTTTCTTTGAAGAAAACTGTCAATCACCTCTGCAGTACAGACTTGAGTAATCTTGGCTAAGCTTCAAGATTACTTGCTTTTCAGCTAAGTCCTGAACACCCTTAGAATCTATTGGCATGAAGAGACCACTCGAATCTGCACTTTTGAGGAAATTATTCGGCTGAAATTCATAATATCTAAATTGTTGGACACCTGAATTATCAGATAGTCATTCCTTGAAAATTTCTGAACTCATCAGATAGCTGGATAATTCTGAGAAATTACTATTTTGGTATAACAATCAGAGACATTCCGACTCCCTATCTTCCTCACTTATTCAACTTCTCTGCTTCAAGTTTACATCACTCTCCAAATATTGAGTCTCCCCATCTAAGCTATCACACTCATTTCTTCCCGAAAAAACAGTTTCCCAGTACTTTCTTGTTCCAACAGTAGAGATCTGTTCCATATTATTTTCGTGTGTATAGGATACATAAATAGCCACCAAGGACGAAGAGACTATTCTTTCAGTATAGAGGTCTAGCTCGTATTTACCTAAAGAGAGTCCTAATGATATCTGAGTCACTAAGGAGTCATGAGAATTGGTCTTGATGTCAAAGATCAGCAAGTATTTTAAGAAGTCGAAATAGCTGTCTGTTACCACAACGAACAGAAATTTCCCATTCCTTTCATAGACTGGTTCGTACGTGTCCTTGGTTAAGTGAAAGAAGACAGAATTTCATGAAGAATATTGGCCCTCTTCAGACTTAGAGCTGGAGTGGCAGTAGCGACTAGATCTACTAAAAAGGAAGAGTTCTTTCAAATTGGAAATTGCATGGGTTCTTGAGTGAATAAATATCTATCTTATTGAGGCCACTGAAGAAGATAGATATTCCATCTTTACCTATATGTGCTAGCCTATATTTGTCATGAACTGAGATTGTTCATTCATGCTGAGTTGACATTGACTCGGACTATAATATATCCAAAGGGGTAGTTACCTTCTTTTCATCATTGGTCTGATATACCTTGTAGACGCTGACTTCAGTATCGTTAGAGAAGGTGAAGTATACGTACATTTCTTTGTACATAAAAATATCCCTGACTTCCTTCTTTTTGAATTCGAGCTTGAAGTTGTAGGTTTGGTCATGCTCATTGATGAAATAGATCTCACTCTTCAATCTATAACTTCCGATTCCTTTGAATTTTGAAAATACTGCAATGTAGTTTGACTTAACCTTCTTGATGGTATTTCTTTGTCTGAGCTGAACATTCTTCAGCCCCAGATTAATCTTTTTCATCCACACAAGGAGGCCATCTTTGATATCAAAGAAGTTGAGTGAGTACTCATAATGTTTTGAATACTGGTCTTTACTAAGTAAAATCAACCTGTTCTGACGAGAACTGATATCATGATAGTAAGCAATGAAATTAGAGTGACGGTAAGTCATTCTACTCACTGGGAAATCTGACATATCCTCTACTTTGAATGATTGATGCTCAATGTAGGTCGAGTGAATTCAATAATAGGAGATCATTGGTGCTTTGCTTTAGAAAGATTAGAAGGAGTTATATTACAAGGATTTAAATGAAAAGAAAGAATCCTAAATATTCAAACAGTTCAAATCAATATTCTCTCAGATTTTTTATGAGAGAAAATTTGTTTTAAAATACATAGATGACTCACTCTTTCTTTAAGTCTTTGTACTGGCTAAAAATTCCTTCAGAACAACTCTGATTAAATTTTGTGTCAATAATTTTTGGAAAAGCACTGCTGGGATCCTGAACAATAGGGAGAGTAATGTTCATGTTCCCATCAGAAACATTTACTAACTCTATTTTGAATCTCAAATCAGGCCCAATAAAATAATCAGAAATAGGAAATTTAAAACTAGGATCACCATATGCGTAGCTGATGTTTATGATTGGATTTGCTAAAGTCATGTATGATGTCATTGTGTTACTACCAACACAAACAACTCAGACATCTAATGTCTTTCCCCAAGAACTTTCAAGAGGACTCTTAGCATTTATTTTGATTGTAAAGTTTTGTTCTTTATAATCAAATTCATGAAATGTGTCAATAATCAGCTCTGGGTCGAGAATGTCGTAGATCTCCCACTTCTCAGGGTTCCTCACAAAGATCTTGTTGCTCTCCAAGTAACTCAGAAACTGAATCCCACTGATGTCGTACCGATACCCATTCAGAGGAATGTGGATGTGACCAACACTGAAGTTGGTTTCATTACGATCGTACACTCTAATCACTTGTTTTAGCAGTTTGCGGTCATATAGCAGCTGGGCAATGTACTTCGCATTCACCGAAATCAGTTCGCAGTCTTTATACCTGTTGTCGCGGATGTTGTCACTGAACACTTTGTTCACGTTTACATTGGCAGACTCATCAATCAGAAACTCATAGATGACTGGAGGAGAAGCAATACTAGTGAAGAACTTGAAATCTGTGTTCTTCAAGTTGAAACTCTTCTCAGTAAAAATTCTTCCAAGAGTTGATTTCTTGTACATATACGTCAGGTTCAGGAACCTGTGACCAATGGTCTTGTCAGCCTCATACTTCTGAATTTTGAAGAATATGATTCCTCAGTTGTATCAACTAGCAATAATATGGTGGTTTTCTTGAACTTCATCATCTTTGTATTTATAGTTGGATTTGTAATAAATTACGTCTCTGAAATTAAACTCACCTTCAAGATTCCTGTTCTCGAAGGGATCTATGAAATCAGAAACGTTATAGGTTGCAGAGTCAATAAATTCTATCTTCTTTTTCTTTATTTGTGATGTGTCAAACACTGAAACTTGGATAAGGCCACTATAATCATTAGTTGTAGCAATAATATATCAATAATCTTCTATCAATCCGGTGGAGATAGAGTTTCTTCCTCTTGAATCAATATGAAACTCTGCTTTTCTGGGGAGAACGGTAAGACTGAAGATATTTCTTGGGTATATTTTTAGACTAATCCAAATGGCGAAATCATCATTTTGATGCTTACACCCAAGAATGTACAATTCATTTGTTTTCACAGTACTAAGTGAATTACAAAAAGTATCCTCTATCGATGTTCTTATGTTGTACTTCAAGTTAATTTGAGTCATAAGATTGATTGTTTTTAGGACATCTATTTCTCCATCTGTCTTCACTTCTGTGACATCAACAAACTTGAGATGATAATCTTCAGTGACGTAGAGCAAATATGTCTTTTCTGGGTATCCTTGTTCATGCCAAGTAAGCAGCCTTAGCGTGTCAGGGAGTGAATCTACATGCTTTTTCATTGAATATTTCCCAGAGTCAGTGATATTATAGAACTCTGAAGACAAATTAAGAAAGCCATAATTATTCTGGCTTGCTTCAAATTGTGCTCCATCATCTCATCCATGGTTAGTATCTAGATTTCAGCTCGGGATATATTCTTACTTTCTAATAATGTGTAATTCAGAAAAGAACCTCCAAAGTATTCTTTGAGGTTTAGCCTGATGATCTCGTTTTCTTGTACAACTATATTGGTTTGGTTAATTAGGTCTCGATTTTAATATCTGAGCTTACTTAAGTAATGCAGGTGCTTTTTGAAAGTGACTAGAGAATCATCTAAATTGTCATCTGAATCCTATAGACACCATGAGAATTACGTAAAATCTTCAGAAATCGTGTTGGGCTGAAGGAATGATCAATTCTCCTCCAATTCCAACAACTATATTGAATTTCTTACCTGCGAATTGATCTTAGAGTTCTTCTCAAGTTTAAATGTGTTGGAATCTCATCAGACTGAGTAGAGTAACAGTGGCAGGAAGAATAATAACTTCATATTTTTATTAATATTCTGTGTCTAGACTTAATGTGGGGTTTTGGGGTTTTGGGGTTTTGGGG